AAGGAAAGCGTGGCGCACAAATCTGGGAGACAGTTCTTTGGAATGGACGCGAGAGGGATCAGGACAAGTTCACAGGATGATGCAAACGATGGATATAACCTTGGAAGGCGTGAGATTCAAAATTTGGCAAGGAGTTTTACGAATTCAGCTTTGTGTGCGCCAAGACTTCGCTTGCGAGAGTGCAGCTCACACTATAAACACAAGCAAACGATGGAAGGTGTTGTCCGCCTCCTGGTGGTGTTCTCCGGTATAGTTTGAGTAGCCTGGGCACCTACTCCACTTGGGAAGGAGATACCTCAGAACATATTTCGCGCGGAGAAAACTTGATGGATGACAGAGGCATGTCTGGATAACTCAGGGTTTTTGAGACGTTCCCCTGGGTGGGTATTCACGGATGACGGTTGACTTGGGGTGAAGAAAAAGCCACCATAACTTCGCAGTGGTACTTGCAAATGAAATCTGAGGCATGAGTGCTCCTCTTGTAAATTGAGTCATCTTTTCTGTAATTTTCTTTGATATTGTGTCATAGCTAGATAGCTGCATATGCAATTAAAATCTGATGCAAAAAAAAAAGAAACCCCCAATAGCCTCCTTGCGCCCACGCCATACAGCCGCTCATATATTCAATAGTTAGCGCTTCAGGCTACCATCTTGCTCATTCCAAACTCTTATATACACACAAGATCGTGTCGGGAACCTTGACGAAATGGAGGGCCCGTACGTCCACAACACTCCGTGTCTCCATTTCAAACAAGTACCACCCCTCACAAGTCCTCATTCGATTATACACTTAGAGGATCCCTTTGCCCTTCATTATCTCCCCTCTCCAGCCAACGAAAAGATGGCCATTTGTAGGTGTATGGCAGCCGGGAAAACTTGCAAAAACCACTGGGTGCGGAGCTCTCCTAGTACCGACATCAGGACTAAATCCGAAGACACAGTGATCCTTCTGAAGCGTTCGAAGAGGCCGACCAGCTCGGCGCTGCAAACTTGTGGGCACCTCGGGAAATTCACCCTCTGCCTTTCTAGCCCAACTTCTTTTGCGCCGTCCAGGGCGCTGTGGAGTGCTGTTGACTCATCGACAATAGAAGTCCTCCTGACTAATTATCCGAAATCTTGGTCTTGGCGTCCACAAAAATTGAAAGTTCAAAACCCCTCGAAAATATCAGTCCCAGCGTGGTCTTCAGAGACCTGTTCCTCTCTCACTCCACATCTCAGGCGCATGTTCTCCCTCAAGTTGTTTGTCCCATTAGAGCAACAGTCTCCCAAATTTGTATATTATGACTTAATATCCTCCTTGCGGGTATACATAGCGTCGTAGATTTGTAGGGGTTGGTGGCTGGTGGCTGGTGGCTGGTAATGAATGAGGCAAGCTCCTGTTTGCAATTGGGGTGACGCCTTTATCGGTCGTTGAGGCGAGATGATGCGTGGTTAGAAAGAAGTTGAGGACTTAGAGTATAATGGTAAGTGACGCATGATTGAGAAGTCGTCAAGTAGAGATATGCATGTGTTTGCTTTCGACTTCAAATCGGATGCGATTCTTCCTGGCTATCCCAGACATGCAGAGCATGCAGAGCATACTGAGCGATTACACCGACACCACTGGAAGGTGAAGAGTTCGTCTTGAACGGCAGCGCCGTGCGTTACAAAAGAGTGGTCGAAGTACCGATGTTAAATACATTAACTTGACCAGCGACAAATAGCGACCAATAAAATAGGTCTGAAAACTTATCATCAAATAAATTGAAATGATGGACGAAGATCAACACCTATTAGCGGTGTCCCATACTAACCTCCAGCTCTCACTGTAGAGTCTGCAGAGCCGAGATATAGTATCACCTTTCAGCTCTGAGCTGAGTTATCTCCTCCTCCCTCAAATATATGCTTCCGATAACACATCTATCAATCAAGACGATGATAATGATGCTGAAAATGGGGAAAATATTGTGATACCTAACGCTAAAACGATAGTTAGAGAAGCCCTCGTTATATCACAGTATGTGCTACCCACCGGCGGGCAAACAAAAAGCCCACAAAAGCAAAGTAAAAGACCCTTCTGCTCTCAAGAAAAGCAGATTTCGACACGTCTACATTATCGTCCCTTCTAATCTTAACTTCCGAATCTACTAGCTAGGAGGGCATCTAATATACATGAGTTACTCGGAGACCTCTCGTCTGTGACGACTTCTGGATGCTAGGCTAGGCTCCTTCACGACAGTCACTCTTGACCAAGACTTTTCTGACATCCTTTCACGACCTTTGACGACCTTTGATTTGTCCTGCGGCATAAATCAAGGGACAAGTAAGGAGGAGGCTAGGAAGGTTGAGAGACACTCTTAGGTATACACAGTTCTGCTGCGTCCGGCTGGCCGGCCTCTTCGTCATAGGAGAGCCCCGCAGCCAGTGGTTTTTGAGACTTTTCCTTGCAGATACACACCTGCAAATGGCCATCGTTTCGTTGGCTGGAGAGGGGCAATAATGACGGGATAACAGCTCCTCTTAGTGTGTACTCGAATGAAGACCTGTGAGGGTATTACTGTTGGAAAGAAGTCGTGAGGGAGGCAAAGGAGGGATTACACTACCCGAGGCATAGATACTCCCGGCCTGTAGGCAGAAAGGACCTACATGTCCTTACATAGTTATAGATTTTTTAGGACAATAAACACTCACACTCACGCACTCTATCTTAAATGTGATAGATGTTGTTGTGAATATCGTGAGCATGACTTGTAAATGTCTATTTACGACAGGTACAAGGTCTATGATAGATATCTCGGCAGGGGCGTCCAACCACCACGCATGACGAGTTTGAGGCAGAGTCATATATGCTTGAGTGAAGCATCCGGGTCAGGAAGTCGCAGTCAAGGAGTATCATGTATACTTAGCATTGTGTCATAGTTGTGAACCTAGGGTCTAGTGAAACTTAGACAACAGGAGATGTAACTGGGTCAATGAGTCTCGGTTTACGATCAATTAGTACTGGAGTAGTCATGTGGTATAAAGGCTAGCACAAGAGACTTGTATATGATATAGCGATATCTTCATGTTCAGATAGAAACAACAACAATAAGCAAGCAATCAATCGAATATTATCGGGATTCATTATTCATATCATTCTAGTATCATCAATTACAAGATAATATTCCAATAGATGTTCAAGCTGAATATGTACTTGAGAGAACGGCCTGAACGGTGTACTTCTGCACCAATAAACCCCATGTTCTTAAGTGATTAGACCCAAAATTACTGTAAATACAAAAAAAAGAAAATTGAGGGTCCTACATTTTTCACAAGTTTAGTGAAACCTTACCTTAGTTTATAGCCGTACTCAAGCTCTCTTTTACGTCTATAGTGACAGGTTAACACTACAGGAGACAGAGTCAAAAGCACTAGTTGTGCTCAATATTTGGTGATTCAAAAAGTGTGTCAAACAGATTACCCTAAATTTAAAAAATAGTATCACGATGCTTAAGTTCAGTTGTATACAAGCGAGTATACGAGGCTGATGCATCAATGGCAATAATTTAGTCATGCAAATGTTACAACTAGCGACTAGACGGATAGCTAATTTCCTACGCACAACCCCCTTGTTGTTTCATAATTTCTATTACCCATGATAATGCAACAGCCGATTTTAGAACCATGTATAGAACGGAGATTTGAGTAGTTCGCATGGATAATCTAATAGTCAGTCTATATTTGGAATTAGTAGAATACTCAAGATGTATATAGTACCAAGATAGATTTCTCATGGTGGAGGATACTCAATTCAATCAATCCTGAGAAAGATTCACATTAGTATAACTTTGCATAATAAAGTGAGACGTAAATATAGGTAGGTCACAAGATACAGAGTATTCGGTAAAGTTTGTTGAGACCTAGAGTATACAACTTTATTACGGGGTAAACAATGTATGTGTCGGTCGGTAATACACACGTGTACGCGTACGCAATGGGTCTCTCAATGATGCGTTGGTGCTTGTTCTTCTTAGACGCAGGCGTATCAGCCTTAGGGGCGACACGGCGAGCTCCACCAAGCCATGTGACTAACTATCAATATATTGTGGTCTACATTCTTGCTCATGTGCATCCAAAAATAGTGTCATGATAGTATAGGTCACATATTTAACTGACTGTTAGTGGTTACCAGTTGGGCAGGAAGTCTGTGTAACATGTTGTGTTGAGGAAGATCCAGGTTACATGACATTGACCTTCGGATATTGAACAAAAGGCAGGAAGACAAATCACTCACTCCGTTTAGGAGACAATTAGAGGACACGAGTAGAAGACACTAGCATTGGCTCTATAGAGCTGGATCACTCGTGGACTATGAATGATGTATAGAAGATAGGAAACGAGTATTGTAGTATCATTAAGTCTTTATTAATGTATCAATAGTTATTTTATTGCAACAAAGTTTGCGAAAACTACCCTTTTCCATTCATAGCCCTATTAAAAAAATTAGCTATTTGTGCAATGGAAATCTACTACAGTAAAAGGCCATTATCACCTTAAATGCTTAAAAATTAGGCATCTGAGCTGCTCGAGGTTCAGACCCAAATGACTGCCAGAAAGCTAGGTGATGTAGCACAGACGAAAATTCTTTCGACTTAGAAACTTTTTGTAACTTGAGATGTCATTTATTTTTACTTATCTTCACCTTTGTGAAGTTGAGGGATATTAATCACTCAACAGATCACGAAGAAAAGGGTTACCAATTTGAGCTCGACTACTTCTAGCCTATAGTAGCTATCGAGATGCTTTCGTGATATGTTCTTCATCTATTATTTACCAACCAACTCTGGATCTTTTCTATGAAAAAAAGAGTTTGTGATGCTGTTGATAATTGTTTCTCAAAAATATTTAACGTGTATTCATGCAATATGTTCCGACAATTAATCACCCGGAGCGGTAAATCGTAAATTGTCATGGCTCAAAATAATTAGCCCACTGAATCAAACACCCGATGATTATGATACTTTTCCATATTTAACATGGTACTAGCGAAAAAGACTACGTATACCATCTGGAAGTACAGACTTCCCTTTCCCATTAACCTTCCCGCGATTGGAATCTTTACGAGGAGATTGAGCTACATCCCAGCAATTGACTGCTTCTTTATCACTGTTGATAGAACTTATGAACATCTGATTTGATTTTGGTAGTGTAAACGGCTTGTAGCGACGACTTTCATCCTCGGCAGAAGTTTGAATTGATGACTTGGTTTCCTTATGGCCATCAAAAGTCCAACCAGCTTTATTTTTCGGTACCCTTGCACTTGTTGAGCCAAGAATTCTGCCATCAAAGCCACCCAAAGCTATATCTACAGGATTTTGGCGAGAGTAATTATGTGAAATATTTTCTTTCTCGTCTTGAATAACGGAAAGACGAGACTTTTTTAAATTCTCTGGCTCTTCAAATAAAAATTTACCGATAGAAGATTCTGTAACAGAATGATGTGAGCCAAAATCTTCAGTTCTAGAAACCTCGTCATCTTCATCAGAATTCTTTTGCAAAGATGCTATACTCTTAGATCTCTTCGTGAAATTGCTAGCAATGCTTGCCACGCTCAGTTTTCTCATCATTAGGCTCGCAGATGCTCTAACAGTGTGTTCACTACGAGCTCTGTGAGCCATCCCAGGGAAAGGTAAAACATCTCGAGTCCAGACATCAGCGAGTAGAGCTTCTAGTCGAGTACGTTCAGAACGCAATGGCGCAATTACTAAAGGTCGATTTACTGTAAATAAAGATTGCGACCTATTTATTGCATTGGAAGACGTTGAATCCTTAAACGAGTTTGTATTTTTAATAATAACCTGACGGAGCCCCGAAATTGAGCCAACTGTCGTTGCACGATGCACCGAAATGCATCGGGCGATACTACCTGCCAATGAAGTCAGTATAAAATACCAAGTAGTACCAACGAAAAATACCTGGTTTTCCAAAAATTGTCCCGAATGCTTTTACGGGTAAAGATAATGATGAATATAATATTTGATCGCCTCTGCTATTTCTTTCTTTATAAGAACGACCTGTTAATCTTCTTCGCCACTCGAGCTCTTCTTTGGGAGAACAGGCACTCATAGTTAGTTCAAACAATTGATGATCACATATGAAAACTATCTTCCACGAAAACTGAACTGTGTAACACTGCAGACCTTTTTATAATTAACATAATCATCTAGCTAGACGAAATTAAATATGATAATTATAGATCAAACTTTAGTAAAAAATGCAAAGCTTACCTCTACCATTGTCAGCCTCCTCGATACCAACTTCAGAAAGTTCGATGCATGCTTGAACGATGTAGACTTGATCGAAATTTGGTGTAGAGGCTAATAATAAGTAGTCACGATAAAGTAGACATATCAAGTTCTGTCCATCGACACCATCCTGGGTTTGCCACGAGACATGAAGTACACCACAAAGATGAATGTGGCCAAGACTTCGTATTAAGCTTTTGGATCGAGTATCAGGCTTTAAAAATCAGCAAACTCACATGATAGTGCAACATTATTTTACCATGTCTGGAAATATGATGCGATCCTGCAGAAGCCAGGATTTTTCCATCAGATTTTTTTTTCGCGGATCATCAGCCGCCTGATTTATTTCTGTAGTGGCTTCTTTAAGTCTAACCATCACTGTTTCTATTTCCAAGTGCGAGTCTGGACAATCGCATACTGGTGTTTGTCTTAAAAGTTCTGAAAATAGCAGTTGGTATCTGCAAATTCGCTGAATTGGCTACCAAATATGTTAAGCGTAGCTTTCTAACGTTTTTAACAATCTCACTTTGATAAGAAGATCACCAACAGTCATTGCCTTCTTTGCGCTATCTTGTTGGTTATTTATCGAAGATAATGATGAAGCCAAAGCTTCCAATCCCTTTTGAAAATCATCCCATTGAGGAATTGTTCTCTGTGTCGATCCAATATCCTTGATCATTAGTTCGTACTTGGCACCATACTCCTCATAAATGAATAGTCGATTGATCTAAGGAGTATGAGCATGAGAATTTTTGTACAATAAGAGCGAACAGTTCTTGCCTTATTACCAAAAATCTTTGCCACCTCAGCAGCTATATGAGGTTCAGCTGTCATTCCCGGTATCCTTTGGAGCCAAGAAACACCACCTGAATTCTCAGGAACAGCATCAAGACTACGCCATCTCTGGTGCCCTCCTGGTGATACTCTAGTAGGTGAGCGAGGGAGGCTTGTTTGTGTATACTCAGAATGTGGAACTACTCGATGTAGCTCACCAAGTATTTCTTCGTGAAGCTCTAGAATTTCATTGAGATTACGATTAATCGAGGCTCTAAAATTTGATGAAAGTCTCGGCATTGAAGCCAACAATGTTACATAAACCTCAAAAGTGTCAACACTATTATTAATAGACGAAGGAAGCTCCAAGAACTTACGTGCATTAGAAATTTAATATCTGCCACGTAGCTCTCTTCAGTATTAATGATCTCCTCTAAGACCCTGCGACGGTGGAGTAAACGATTTACAACTGCTTGATCGAAAACAGCACATTTAGATATATGTGAGCTATCCTCGGAATTTCTACCTAGTTGAGATGCTTTGCTGCTCCTATCGGTTCGCTGTTGACGTGATGAGACTTTAGTTCTTTTAGACCTAGCTGCAACACTGAAGCTTGCTAAACTGATACTAGCACTTTTTACTGCGGTTACAAAACCGAAAGAAGAGCCAGACGAAGACTTTTTGTGAGCTGATCTCCTAGCAGTCCCCGGAGATTGAAATAGATCACCATCGGAGGCAGGCATACCCATATCACAACTCACTGTCTTACGCCTTCGACTTGCATGGCGTTCAAAGTTTTTAGACCATTTAGAAAATGGTATACTTGGTATCGAAGATTGATTTTTGAAGTCCTCGGTGCTTTCAAGAGAAAACCTCTCAAAAATTGGCCTTTTTTCTGGCTCAGTTTCTTCACACTCAAATGATAGCCCCAAAGCAGATATATTTTTGAGTTGGTCAAGTGTGTCCTCATCCTGGCTACTATCTAAATCCACTGAATTTTCATGAAGGTCAACATTTTCAAACACAGTCTCTCGAGAATTATCCGCGTTATTTCTTAGGTACGGAGGAACCTGAATGGATGACCCGCAGCTTGTTTTTCGAAGTGAATCCTGTGAGCCTCGGCGCGAACATGTCGGTGTGGATAGAACTTCAAAATTGAGAGCCATGGTGCCAGTGGCTAGGAGATCCATATTTTCGTGGGAACAGGTCAAAGATAATGAATATACAAAATAATTATTGACTTCCAAGAAAGTTTTGCTCGGACTGTGCAAAATTCTAGCAAGAACTGCATCAAATCACATTGAGCAAAAGAAGAATGACCAAAATTAAGGGAGAGATCGGACAGATATAGAAGCTGCAAACATTGCCATGAGTTGTATTTAGTTCGGGAAATGCAAGAGCGACCTAGGCCTCGGGAGTAGAGTAGCCAGCTTCTTTTATTATCGGTGCACTGTGAAAAGAACAATAAACCATACATTCTGCTCATCTTCTTTGAATATGTGAGCAACCTTACTTGGGAACCCTGTGAGACTTTTTGAATTTTCGCGGTCTTCTTTGATGTATGAATGGTTGTCTTGAATATCGTCGTTGATATATATTTTCGTAAGCCGATGGGTAGTAAATGACGTACGATCAAATATGTCATGAAGAAATCTGGAAAATCAAAAAAATTTGAGCCTAGATTCGTACGTGTTTATGATAAACGTAACATATTAACAATATCTGCTTTCCCTTTTCGCTTAGGAATATTCAAAAAGTATTAAAATGAAACCATTGCGCGACATGAGTTTTCTTCGCTGATAAAAGTTTTTGAATTTTAATATTGCAGCTGGATTAAGTAGAGGCTCAGATTAAATTACATTCACAACTGTAAGCAATTGAAATAATATAGTGAGTAAATCACCAGAGATAGCAACTAATATTTGTCAATATTCCAAAGCCGCCTCCTGTGATAGAGTCTCTTTATCCTAGATCTAGTCTTCTTGAGCTAGGAGCGGACTCATAGAAGAACATGCTAGCAATAATATAGATTTCACAAAGTTGATGGTTGCACTTGTTCGGGTGGTTCCATGGATAGATGATCGTTATTGTCATGAACATGTACGAAAAGAACTTCATAGAGTGTACAAGGCTGGCTATCCGACCTTGCACTGTCACATTACGCCAAGCCTGAACTCCAAAGTTTCCCTGCCTATAATTACAGATATTACCACTGTCCTAAAATTCACAGAGAAGGTTATCCAGGAAGACGTAGATTGGATAGTTCAACTAGCTTTGTCACACATGATCAGATTCCACATTTCTCAGTCTGGGCTACTATTCATTGGGGGAGAACCGAAAAAAAACTTGATCCATTCAGCCTCATGGTTAAAGTTGGTGATCAGCTTATTACGCCTTCTCTACATATTCCATGGCTCAGAGTTTGACTTGACGCACAAATAACATTCAAACAGCTGTTCAGGAATGGTGTAGTAAGTCACGAGACTATCACAATTCTTATGCAGCGTAAAGAAGGTTCAATGAGTTGTGGCTACGGGACCATTCATACGTGCGGGGAATTCATGTGTAGTCAGCACAGCAGTTTATGGCACCGAAGCTTGGTGGCCTGGACTTACTCGTATTACGACGACACGAGAGAAGAGAGAAAGTACAGATGTCGGCTGGCATCTCAAACTACTAGACATTAAAAATTTTGACGGCAGTTCGAGCTGCACTACCTGTGTGATGTGTTAGAAATTGTCAAGAATTTCTAGGATGAAATTTCTCGAAGAATAAGTATACAATTTCGGAAAAGAATTTATTGGTAGTTGTACAGGATATCAAACTCTCTTCTCGATGTGAATTAATAATATATAGTATTTCGTTAACTTTGTTGAACATATACAGATGAGCCTATCCTTAAATACAGATTCCTAAGGCCTTAGTGATACCGAACTCCCAGTCATCTAGCAACAACCAGCCACTCAATTATCGCACAGTAGCACTTCCCAGCCAGTGAATTTCAGATATCAATGAACTTCATGTCGCCCAGCTAAGCTTAACCATATGCAATCGAATCAATCTAACTTATCTTGATGATCATACCTAGAAATCCAAACCTTCATACATACTGAGTCTAGATTTCTAATACTTACAGAGCAGCGTTTTGAGAAATGGGACGGTTGCCCATAGGGAGGTGTCTAGAAGGGTGCGTACCACGAGGGGGTATGTGTCTGATTATATATTTGTATTTACTATATGACAACTGAAGTCCCTTCTTATCTGGGAATAGCGCGGACGCTATCTAATAATATCTTTATTCTTGTGCATGCGGACTACATCCCCTAGGAAGAGAGGAGTGCGACGGGCTAGGAATTTCGGCCAATGCACGGAATCACTGCCACAATCAATATTCTACGACGAAGTTCAACGAGCCCACTAGATCCCCCCTGGAAAAGAGGGGGTTTTGTGGTGAACTGATGTTGGATGGAAGGACTCACAATCTCTTCTTTCGTAGCGTTATCTTAATTCATTGTACAGCCTGTGAGTTTAACATCAAAATAATTGTAAATCAGATGTAAAGTTCCTGGTAAAAGGATATTTGCTACGTTTAAATTGGAAAGCAGAGTGGCGGATAGCTGGATCTTTGTTTGTTTGTGTATTAACGTGCTAGGCAATTGACACCCTCCGCACTCCTATGGGAACTTGGGTACGAGTGGGGCCGGGCTGGATCAGGTTAACTACCTTTAAGTACATCTACCTCGTCCTACCTGAATGACCGGACCATCTCAGACTTCACCCATGTGTCGCATCATGTCAAGCCCAACCGTCCAGAGAACCCCCTTTAGGCGCGCCGAAGCGCAAATTCCTCCCCAGTGTGGATCCCTGATAGATCTAAAGGGCACGAATTAGCTAGATGTAGGAAACACGACACACACGTAATCGTAATTATCTTATGATCTCACGCGCAGCAAATCGCACTGTCAGAGCCCGCGGTCACAGCCCGCGACCACAGCAGTAGATCTACTAGCGTTGAGGAGTAAGGAGTAATCAATGTATATAGACACATAGACTTCCGACACTTGAAGGATATAGATTTCACGTATTAGTCTCAAGCTCTACACAAGATCCGTTGTAGTTAGGAGCCACGAGACACCACGTGATATCACCCCAATCTTACACCCACACCCATTGTTTACTAAGTATACAACGCGCGCTCTGAGCCGCTCAAAAGACTCCGCCTAGATACCGTCGAAAAAGACCTCTTTCGTTGCCTGCTGAAGACTTCGACCTGCTGTATTGTCCCCCTCCCACCTCATCCTTCCAAACGCGACCTCGATATACTGACAGAGAGCCTAATCAAAGCCATTGGTACCGCTTTCAATTGATCCGCTCAACGCTCTATTGGAACTAGTCGTGGTAATCCATGGTGGAACAGTGCATGCAGGTCTGCCCGCACACAGTATAAACAGTTTGCCCGCTCCCCCCCCACAATAACGAGATAGAACTTAGAGACGCAAAGAAAGCCTATCGCAACGTGATAAGGAAAGCCAAGCACGCCTTCTTCGAGACACGTGTTGATAGAGCTAGCTCGGGTAAAGACGTGTTTGAAATGGCAAAGTGGCACAGATCAGCCGGGACCTTCCGATCAACCCCTCTCAAAAACCCGCAGTCACCAAATAGTGACCATGCATTCACAACAGAGGAAAAAATGAAAGTTTTATTAGCCATCTTACTGACAAACTCCACAAACGCCAAAGATATGCCATTAGATACTCCCGCTGTGCCAAATACCCAACTACCATTCCCTCCTCTAGCTTATGAAGAAGTGAAAGCAGCGATTTCCCGAGCTGGCAATACCTCCCCAGGGGTTGACGAGATACCACCAGCTATCCTTAGAGAAGCATGGCCACTTAAGATCATTTCATAGCGCTCCTCACTAGTTGTCTGTCACTTGGATACCACCCCATCTGCTTCCGGCAGGCTGAAGTAGTTGTCTGATTAAAGTTCTGTATCATATCACGTGCCTTATTATCGTAATATTTCCTTATATAGAATAGCGCCGGGAATAAGAAATTGGCTCCCCAATGTAATTATTAGATGTTCCGTAGGAGGGAGAGAGTTAGACAGGAATTAATTGATACCAATATTGTTAGAACAAGCTTGTCACGAAACCCGTCCACTTGAAGTATTCCGACACTGATCAGTAGACGTACAGATCAGATACATCTTGTGAAGAGAGATTCAATCGTTCAGTCCCTGATAAAGGCCTCGGCTCGATTGCATTTGCTAAGGAGTATAGACTTGATAGTTGACCCCTTCCTTAAGGCCCTTGACTTCAAATATATATTTAAGGATTTGACCCCTTTCACAAGGCCCTCAAATCCCGCGTCCACTACGCAAAAATAAGCTCTTGAATAATTAAACACATATCGACCCCTTCATCAAGGCCCTCAAATCCCGCGTCCACTACGCAAAAATAAGCTCTTGAATAATTAAACACATATCGACCCCTTCATCAAGGCCCTCGATTCTGCGTAATATTTCAACAGCCTAAATTCATACGACCCCATTTTCTGCTTTCATCATCACTAACTTTTCCAAAGCCCGCATTCAAAATGCCCGACTCGTACACCGATTCCAAGCTATCTACAGGCGGATCCCGACCCTCAACGAGATCACAATCAAAGCAGACGGCGCTCGATAAGGAAGCAGAAGCCAGGCAACAGCAGATTAACAAATTCATCGAACAGAAAGTCAACGACTACATAAAGTTCAAGATCAAAGATGATAACCTTTGGGAAGCTTTCAAGGAAGATTTTATATCTTTTTAAGAGGATGATTTCAATGCTACCTCTCTCGTTTACGTTCGAGGTCTTCGGACCCACCTGCGTACACACGGAGTTTGGGTTAAGAATAATAGAGGTGTTAGCATTGTTACTTCATTAATGGAAACACTTAATGAAGATGACCCAACCCCCTGGACTTTAGAGGAAATCGAAAACTCAAATGAAACGTTCAATTCAAATATAATCTCTCACCTCTTCAGGTCCAAATTAGAGCCTACCCCTAGACTAAAAACTGAGACTCATCAAGATATTTCGAAAATAGATGTAAAAATGAAAGCCCAGACTTTATCGTCGCACCCTAACATGCCTTCACAAAATGCCCCACAGACAATCTATCAAACTCGGTCTCTAACTAGAAGCGA